GATAGTCAAATGTAGAACCCCTCCCAGGTTAGGTTGCTAGAATGTTTGCCAGGTTTAGTTCTTTGGGCTCCTCTGGAATCAGTGGAGAAGTGGATCCAGTCACTCAGGCTGCAGATTTGATTGCTCTCTCCTGATTTCTGGAAACACAGGAGGTTGAGCGAGGCAAATGTACTGCCTGAATATTTATTGTGCTTCAGCCAATCCCTGGGGAAATGGGCCCAACAAGTGGCTGAAGAGCATGAATAGTTGGAGACTGGGAGAAGCCAAGGTTCTTGCCCTACTGGAGAGGTACTCAGCCTGAGGGGGGAAAGAATTTCACCCAAGGACCTGGTCTGGAGAGTTTACTGACGAGTGCCTGTTGGAAGCTAGAAAGGTTTTGGATGTCCTGGGGCATTATGAGCATTAACTTCTCCATCACTGAAGAGTGTCTGGTGGATACTAGGCGGAAGAATCCAGTGATCCTGTGACATTGAGAGTACTGACCTGGGTCTTAGTGACTTTGTGTGTCCTGTGGTTAGAAGAGCCAGTGGCAGTTCTGTTTGGGGTAGCGTTTTAAAAGGACTCAGTTCTACCATGTTCTATACATGTTCCTGCATAGAGATTGTTCGGGGAAGCTTAGTAAAGGAGTGCTCCCCTGTTATTGTTCAGCATGTTTTGAGTATCCCATATCACCCTACGCCCCATCCAAGATCTTCAGCAATAAAAATCCTAAGAAGATATCCTCTAGACCAGGGGTAGGCAACCTGCGGCTCTCTAGCTGTTGCAGGACTACGAGTTCCATCATGCCTCTGCAAGTCATAGCTGTAACTGTCAATTTTGTAATGTTGCAATGCCTCATGGGAAATGTAGTTCCACAACAGCTAGAGAGCCGCAGGTTGCCTACCCCTGCTCTAGACAGATTACTGAGCCAGAGAGCGTGAACTGTTGCTGTGTTTCTGACTGCCTCTTCACTAATCTTGGGGAAGAACCGGTTAAATTACCAAGGCTCCTTCAGGGGTAACACTACACAAGAAGTCAACTACCCTCCAGAACTTCTCCAGAGCTTCCCCCATCCTCTGGAACTCCCTACCAAAGTATGTCCGGTCAGCCCCCACCCTGTCTGCCTTTAGGCGATCTTTGAAAACTCACTTATTCAGGGAAGCCTACCCCACCTCCACCTATAGAACTGTACTTGAATCACCTCCAGCAGATCATCCCCTGCAGCTATCACCTTTTGTAGCACCTCCCCTTCCTTTAGATTGTAAGCTCCACGTGCCGGGCCCTCCTATTCCTTCTGTATTGAAATGTATTGCAATTGTACTGTCTCCTTTATATTGTAAAGCGCTGCGCAAACTGTTGGCGCCATAAATCCTGTATAATAATAATAACTTCCCTCATTCAGAAACCCCCTAATCCAGCCTACAAACACCCTAACCTGCCATCCACAAACACTTCGTCTTGGTTTGTGCTTAGGCCATTTACATTCTTGCCAAGATCAAAGATAATAGAACTTATGGGTAGTGATTAGGGATGAACTGAACTGCCCTGGGTACGGTTCAACGATCTTCAAAGACGTTCGGATTTGGAACCAAAACTCTGTTGAAGTCAATGGAGCCGAATCTGTCAAATCAAAAGTGCCCATTTTCTGGAATAACCAGAGTTGTCACAAAATAGCATGGTGCTTGTTCATCCACAAACACCTTGCCTTGGGTTGTGTTTAGCCTATTTACATACTTGCCAAGATCAAGGGTAATAGGACTTATGGGTAGCGATTAAGGATGAGCTGAACTGCCCTGGGTTTGGTGATCTTCATAGAACTTTGGATAAGGAACCCAAAATTCTGTTAAAGTCAGTGAAAGCCAAACCTGTCAAAAGTGCGCATTTTTTTCTGAGCCTTGGGGAACATAGAACAGTACAAAACACCTTTTTGTTTTTAATTTTAAATTCCATTTGGCAGGGTGTAGCAATTTTGACAAAAATGGTTTGTAAATTGGCTACAAACATTTCCCTCCTGGCTTCTATAAAAAAAAAAAAAAAAAAAAAAGCACACAGACCCCTCTAATGGTTCCCCAGAATACATAGACTGATATATATACAGTTGCAAGAAAAAGTATGTGAACCCCTTGGGATTACGTGGAGTTTTGCATGAATTGGGCATAAAATGTGCTCTGAACGTCATCTAAGTCACAACAATAGAAGAACACAGTCTGCTGAACATAATATTACACAAACATTAGATGTTGCCATGGTTTAATTGCACATAACATGTAAACATTCACAGTTCAGGGAGGAAAAAGTATGTGAGGTCCTAGCTTAATGACTTCTCCCAGAGCTAATTGGAGCCAGGAGTGAGCCAACCTTGACTCCATTCAGTGTGATGATATTGGATGTGTTGCTGACAGCTGTCCTGCCCTTAAAAAACACACACCTGTTTTGGGTTTACTGGTTTCAAGAAGCACTGTCTGATGTGAACCATGCCTCGCAGAAAAGAGCTCTCAGAAGACCTACGATCAAGAGTTGTTGACTTGCATGAAGCTGGAAAGGGTTACAAAAGTATCTCCAAAAGCCTTGATGTTCATGTGTCCATGGTAAGACAGACTGTCTACAAATGGAGAAAGTTTAGCACTGTTGCTACTCTCCCTAGGCGTGGTCGTCCTGTAAAAATGACTGCAAGAGCACAGCGCAGAATGCTGCATGAGGTAAAGAAGAATCCCAGAGTGTCAGCTAAAGACCTACAGAAATCTCTGGCACATGCTAACATTTTTGTTGACACATCTACAATAAGGAAAACATTAAACAAGAATGGAGTACATGGGAGGACACCACGGAGGAAGCCATTGCTGTCCAAAAAGAATATTGCAGCACGTTTGAAGTTTGCAGAAGAGCACCTGGATGTTCCACAGCACTACTGGCAAAATATACTGTGGACAGATGAAACCAAGATTGAGTTGTTTGGGAAGAACACACAACACTATGTGTGGAGAAAAAAAAGGCCCAGCACACCAACATCAAAACATCATCCCCACTGTAAAACATGGCGGAGGGAGCATTATGGTTTGGGGCTGCTTTGCTGCTTCAGGGCCTGGATGGATTGTTGTCATTGATGGGAAAATGAATTCCAGAGTTTATCAAGACATTTTGCAGGAAAACGTACGACCATCTGTCTGCCAACTGAAGCTCCGCAGAGGATGGGTGATGCAACAGGACAATGACCCAAAGCATACAAGTAATTCAACAAAAAACAATGGCTGCAACAGCACAGAATACGCCTTCTGGAGTGGCCCAGCCAGAGTCCTGACCGCAGCTCGATTGAAATGCTGTGGCATGACCTTAAGAGAGCGATTCACACCAGACATCCCAAGAATATTGCTACATTAAAACAGTTTTGTGAAGAGGAGTGGTCCAAAATGACTCCAGATCGTTGTGCAGGTCTGATCTGCAACTACAGGAAACGTTTGGTTGAGGTTATTGCTGCCAAAGGAGGATCAACCAGTTATTAAGTCCAAAGGTTCACATACTTTTTTCCTCCCTGCACTGTGAATGTTTACATGTTATGTGCAATTAAACCATGGCAACATCTAATGTTTGTGTAGTATTATGTTCAGCAGACTGTGTTCTTCTATTGTTGTGACTTAGATGACGTTCAGAGAACATTTTATGCCTAATTCATGCAAAACTCCACATAATCCCAAGGGGTTCACATACTTTTTCTTGCAACTGTGTATATATATATATATATATATATATATATATATAAATAAAATCGGGGGACCCTCTGTGTCCGATTGTCTTTGTAAAAGAAGCCATGAAATGTAATTTGCTGCCAATGTAAACTGTATCCATTTTGTTCCTTTGTCAATGTCACTTGCAGCACACCCAAGATTTTGAAGGGAGATCCCCCACACAAAAAAAAGCGTTCTTTCCTCAAAGAAAATCCATACCCGACCATTTCATGCATGCAGCCTGGTTGGCCCTCCTGAACCATACCAGGCCATGTGGAAATGAGGGGCTCCTTGCCAGAAGGGCCCCTGGCAAAGCATGCTGCCCCCATGTTGACAAGAGCATGGTCCTCTTCCCACAATATTTCTCTTCCTCCTGGCGCAGTGGCTGTTGGGGAGGGAATGTGGCGATGGGGGGGCTCACAGGAATTTTACACCCCCTTTAAAAAAATGTCCCTCGTAAATCATTCGTCAATAACGATGCCCGCTAACTTCGCAAAACAAAACCTGATGGACCCAACGCACACAACCTATCCCAATGACACTCCTGAAAAGGTCAACTCTCCAAGCTATCATTAGCTATATCAGGGAACGGGTGAGGAAAGTAATGACATCATAGACCAAACCTAGTCATGGCCAGATTTGGTCAATGTCATTTCCTAAATATCATCAGTGACCATATTTGGGCAGTGATGTCATCCTCTCTACTTTGCTTGTGTGTCTGGGGATTCCCAGTCATGTAAGCCAATGTGCCGGTGACATCATCAGTTTCTTGGGATGCAGGGGGTGCCAGCACCCGCTGCTTTCATAGGATCCATTGATAACAGGAATCGGTTATATATAGAAATTATAAAAATACTTCTATATATAATGTTCAGCTCCTGACGAACAGATGACAGAACAGTTGGCTCATCCTAGAGGTAACTTTGCTTGTCAGGTGAATCGGCAAATTACAAACTTTTTTTTTCCATTGTTTGAGAGAATACCAATTCGTAAAACCCTAAACATGTCCAAGTGAATTGTCTTTTTGTATCCACCTGAATATACAGTATACATATGTCTATTAGCAGATAACAACACAATTCATTAATCACAGTTGAAGACCCCATCCAAAACCCTGTCCGTACCACAAGACCCCGTATAGTATAGATCTGGAATCACAACATAGCAGGCAGATTGGGGTCCCAGAAAAACATCAAAGTAACAGCTGGGGCCACAAATGTCACAGATAGCTGGAGCCAAATTCCACTCAGCAGAACATGTTTACATATTACCCCAGCTAAAAAATGTATTATCACTAACCTCTTAATACAGTGGGCAGCGGAGACCACCCAAGATTCACTGATAAGGGATCCACCACAGAAGTGTTGTCCGTTGAGGCGTAAACTCACTTGCCATGGCCACTGCCCCGCCTGGGAATTCTGGCCGCCCATAATCCGGCTCTCCACCTGAGGCTTTCCACATTCTGCAGGGAGATGAAAACCACAAATATAAAAATGAAAGCCATATTCTCAGTCTGGAGTAGCAGTTGTTTATGGCTCAAGGAAACCAATAACTTAATCCCGGCGACCTGGAGGGTTTACAGATCTAACTGAACTGCTATTGATTTGGAAATATTCTCCGATGCTCTGTAAAGCCATAACCCACCATTGGTTCTCATGCCACCATCTGAGTTACAGAATATGTTACTATGTTCTTTTCTCTCATAGGAATTATATGGCCTCAAAACTTGGTTTTACCAACAAAACTTGCTGAATTAGGAAAAATTAAAATTAGCAGATTTGCCAAGTTTTGATTGCACTGAAAATAGGTCAGTAGAGATTCAAGTTATTTGCAAATGTGGGAAATTGTAACTCATGAAATTTATAATACTTTACAAACTGAATAAATCTGTTCTCAGGATGCAATTGGACACGTCAGGAACTTTTTTTTTTTTTCTAAGGTAGGATCACATCCTGATTGGGGGATGAAGAGAATTATTGATACTCTTACTATATGAAGTTGTGGTAAAATGTTATGCCTACCCTTCAAATCTGACCAAACCCATTATTTTCATTTATTGATGAGCCAAACTGCCCTGGGTTCAGTCTGAGCGGGGTTTGCTGAACTTCAAAGTGTTTCAGATGCTTGTAGACAGGTGCCATCCATTTCCTCCACTGCAGGTGTTGCTCATCCACAGCAGCAATGCAGGTGGAGGAAGTCAAGAGGAACCAAGTTCCTCTATGGTTTCCTTGGTCACAGGGAAACCGCATCCGATTGAAGGCTGGTACCCCATGTGACTTTGTCGGCCATCTTGGGTCAGGCAGAGTCTATTTAAGACCCTGGTTCCCAGGTTTGGTGCACATTTTGTGTGTGGCTAAAGTAGGGACAGGTCACCCACCTGTCAGGGACAGTGTTTTTGGCCAAGGAGAGGTTCCAGAGTAGGGAAAGTGCAGGGACATGGCATCCTTCCTGGAGGCCTCCACACGGGTACAGACTGCCCAGGCAGCATTCCACGCCTCAAGACAGAAGCTGTCGGCAGAGCTGAAACCCACTGCTACTACTAATAGCGGTTACATCCCGTTGGGCATCTGTGCATTGCTGAACTTCAATATCAATACAGTTCTGTTTTCTACATCTGGAATCAGAGTTTTCTGTTGCACCCATCCACATGCTGAATCTGAAGCCCAAAAAGGACCTACAGCTAACCTGTAGCAGAGGTTAAAGGAATCTAAGCTGGCTGTGGCAGAAGCCTAAGAAATAGGGAGATAGCCAGCCACCTAAAGGATTCTTGGAAAAGTCTGCTTTGCAGAGGGATTTTTACTACTGTTTTGGGGTATCATTTACCCCTAACCTTTCTACCCAAGACAACTGAGCCAATTAAATTGCAAAAAAGAAGACTGAGGCTGCGTTCACATTGATGTGGTGCGAAATTCGCAGAGTTTTCTGTGCGAATTCCGCACCACATCACAATCGCACCCCATTCATGTGAACCGCTGCGGGTGTGTATGATAAGTTAACACCCCAAAATCAGTCTGCAAATGTGGAGAATCGGATTGCATAGGTGTGAATACTCATGCGATACGATTCTGGTGAGGACCAAAGAAAGAAAAAAAAAAAAAAAAAAAAAGGGTCCTGCACCTAATTTGATAGGGTACTATTTGAGCCATACAAAAAAGTATGGCTCCAATCGCACCACACACAAATCGCATGTGATTTGCACAGGAATGGGGTGTGGTGCGAATCACATGCAATATACCGCAGCGCATATATGTGAACCCAGCCTCAAGGTGTTGAAGTCAGTCTGTTGGTGTGACAATGGGTGCAGCTACAGGGTGGGTCACCTTTAGGAAGGAAGAAGAGTCTCCTACATTTTCCAGACACCCCTGCAGGGGTGAGTGCTACACTTGTAATTTAACTCTGGATTGGGTTTCACCAAATGTCTTTTCTCCTATTTCTAGCATTATGTCTTCTTATCAAACTAGTAGATATTGCATCAAACGTGGCAAAACGGCTTCAAAGAGGGCGCTGGAGATGGTCAACACTAATATGCAAAAAAGCATAAAAAAATAAAATAAATAAAAATTAAAAAAAAAAAAAAAAAAAAGGAGGAGTAAAAATATTTCATTTTTAAAAATTGCAAATGTTGTTTGAACCACCGTGCACAGAGGAAACTGAAGGTCATAGATTTTAGGTCTCCTTAGAGAAACTTGAAAGTCCATCCATTATTCTTTGACGATGTAAAACCTTTCGAGCCGTGTAAGTGTTAACTCTCCCGTGAGATAATAAGAGCACATTTCTACAAATAACAGGACAGACAGGGTGTGCTTGGCGCTCATCTCTCAGCAAAACAATAAAAGCTCTTTATAAGAGTCAAAACAGACCTCAAGCCAAAAATAAGAAAAATGAAGAGCCCATTAAAAGAGAATGACTAGCGAATGATTAAAACTGACTTTTGCTGCAATAGTCACCTTCAGCCCAGAGATTTCCACTGTATTACTTTTTTGCCATCAGGCGTCCTTAGTCTGATGGACATACAAGGAAATATCTTTATGGCACAAGTAGTGTATGGGTAAACTCCGCATAGCAGAGAAAGAACACGGATACATAACCAGGAGTCCAATAAACCAGTCTTTATCAGGTATGTCAGGGGTTGACTCCAGTAAGTGTCCTTTCACATGATACAACTCCTCCAGAGAGATGGAAGAAATCTCTCTCAGGCTTGACAAAGGCAGGATTTCCTTGAAACGCGTAGCCACGTCCCCAAATTGCTTTCCCAGCGTTTGCCATCATTCATTGGGTTCCTCTGAAGTCTCCTCCTGACCTGGAAGTGCTCTAAGCTTTCTGTGCCTACTCGGCCAGAGAAAGTGTTACACAATCCCTGGACTTGATTGCTCTTCTACAGGGTTCTCTGGATGTTCTGATTATACCCCACATGCCACCACAAACTTACTTCATGTGAGTGGACAATTTGTTTTTATCATACAATAAAAATGTTTTATTGCTGCTCTTAGATGGCATCCTTCACTGTGTGTGTTTTCAGTTTGATTATCCACACACCCACGTCCACTGAGACCAGGACCTGCCCCCCCCATACTGACTGGGCAGTAAAAAGGAGAAGCAGCACAGTGATGGGCTCATGTCTTGGTCACTCTGCTCCTTCCTCCTATCAGTATGTTTCTTGTGAATGCATGAACGGATTGACTCCTTGTGCTGCTTCTCTCTCTCACACCCCCTGCTTTGCTGTACGGGGACTGCAAGGGGCTGGTATTAGGACGCATTTAGGGACTTACACTGTTTTTATTAAAAAATATATATATTTTAATGATTTGCTAATGATTATAGAAGTGCGTTACTTGTGTCTTTTATAGCCGCCTGGAATTCTACTTTAATGTGGAACTGAAAGGATTAACCTCCAAATATCTCCACATATTCACCCTTCCAAATGCGCTCCTTCACCTCCGGCTTCAGATGAGCCCCCAAGGGCCCCTCAAAGAACACAAACTTCGCATTTGGCCGCATCCACCAAATGCACCCCATCAAACCCCGGCACCGCCTTTTCCCCGCCGTCGGCCCCCAGGACCATCAACAGCCACTTCCCCCCTATAACCTCAGAGGCAGCGCTGGAAGAACCACCCACCGCCGACCTAACGGCAGAAGAGGTTCCAGTGAACTGCGGCACAGCTACTATAACCACCCGTGGGGGCACCCCTGCAGCAGCGTCTCTACCTCCCATGGAGTCAACACCGCCCCCAGATGCCACAGCCTGAACAGCCGACCAGGCGGCTAAAGATGGTGCTGAAGTCCAGGATTAATACTTGCTTTTCCAATGATCCCACTCCATCTTTTCCTCTGTGGCGGTCTTTTGTTGCTCATGTGCATCCTCAGGAGGCCATCATTCTGGTACACGTGCACAGCTCAGTGTACAGCGCCAGAGAAGACAGCGAGGAGACTGGTAGGAACATTTTATTGTAGAAGTGGCATTACATGATAAAAGCCTGTTTCCTCACTGGTTTTTTTTACAGCAAACTTCAGCTCCACTTTAGGATGCATAGAAGACATCAGTTCCTACTACTGTGCAATTTTCCCTCCTGGTGGGGGTTCACCTCTTGTTGAGAGTCACTTTGTCTTCAGTACATTGAACCCAACATTCTACAAAAATGGAGACAAATGCCAGAGTAAAGGTGACCTGATGTACTAGGCAGCTCTAGAATATACTATGGACAGGGAAAAGGAAGTGTTCTGTTCAGGTGTCATCCCTGCCAAAATAAATGTCACGCAGAAATGGAGTCTTTATTCTGAATCTGCACATCCCTCAGGGAAGTTATGTAAAAGTCAGTGCCAGGGCTGGGCCAAGGCAGAGGCAGAAGGAACACCAACTTTGGGTTTGCTGTGCTTGGGGTGCAGCTGGGGCAGGAACCTCTTCTGCCTCTGCATTGTCCATTCACATAGTAGAGGATTAACACTGGACGCATAGAGTCTTTTTTCATTCAAGCGATGAGTTGAACAAAAAAAAACAAAAACCTGACTTGATTTTTCAATCCACACATTAAATATCAGAAAACGAATACTACAACTAATGCTGGTGAACATACAAGTGCAGCTAATGCTCGTACGTATGTGCCAGCACACAAGCGGATTCTGACCAGTAACCAGTGTGTGTGACACGTTGGCACATTTGTGCATGCCAGAGCAGATCGTCATGCACGTCATCGCACATGACACACACTCCTCCCTGGGAATAGTGCTCACTGCCCATTCAGGAGGTCCAGATGTTTGCTGATCACACTAGGTTCTTAAGCTCCCCATGACCTGCATTCTTGCTCCTGTCCTGTCCGACCTCTCTTTGCTGACCCGCCCTGCTCTGTGAATTCTGAATTCTGACTTGCCTTTGACCACGCTGTCTTCCTGGTATGGACCCCGGCCTGCTGCTTGACTACATTTATTCTTGCTC